TCTTCTTTGATGCCTGATACCTGGTCCCATTAACCCCTCATGATCACACAGGCTGGTGTGTTCTTCCGTGGAGCCAGTTCTGACTCATCGTGACCTGTGCATGTCAGAGTGGAACTGAGATTTTTTTTTTTAAGTAGACTGCTATGCCTAACTACCAAGGTTCCTCTAGACCAGCGGTTCTCTACCTATGGGTTGCAACCCTTTTAGGGGTCGAATGACCCTTTCACAGGGGTTGCCCGATTCATAACAGTAGCACAATTACAGTTATGAAGTAGAAATGAAAACAATTTTATGGTTGGGGGTCACCACAACATGAGGAACTGTATTAAAGGGTCTAGGCATTAGGAAGGTTGAGAACCACTGCTCTAGGGGAATTCTAACTACCACCCTTCAAGTTCCCAGTCAAGAGCCAAACCATGTGTGCCACTCAAGACTCCACAAACCACACCCGTGGCCAGCGAGTCCATTCCAACTCACAGGGACCCTGTTGACTGCCCAAGAGTGTGTCGAAGACGGAAACTGTTTACTTCTTTGATCCATGTGACAAGGCACCAGATTGGAGTCGGGGTTCTCACACACTTCCCTCAAGGGCTCAGCTGAACAAGTGAAGACAGCAAACACCCGGCAGCTGTTCAGCTCAGAAGGAGCAAAGAGCCATGTGACGGGAACCCTTTCAGCACTGAGATGGGAACACTGGCGGGGGCAGGGGGCATGGCCCTGAGTCTTAGCAGAAGTAGGGAAAAGAAAATTGAGGCACACGTAATCCTGGAAAAGGGCATTGGCTCGCCTCCAATCTAAGGAGACTAGAGGGGAAGGACCATTCTTGCAAGGCACTAAAGCCTTTTACACCACAGGTTTCCAAACTCACTTGGCCCACAGCCCCCTGTTCAGGAAAGAAAAAGGAAAAACCCCAACAATTCAGTGCCTTCCTGGCAATTAAAAACTTTGTGCTGTAACCCATAGTCTAGGATAAGGTGTAGATATCTGCTTTGCAGCCCCACCTTGGATTGTTCGAACACACACACACACACACACACACACACACACACACACACACACGGTATTTCCCACTTTGGGAAGCAGTGCTTTTATACCATTGTGCTGCTGAGCCCTGACAGTGTAAAGGTTCCAAGTTGGGCTGCTAACAGCAAAGTCAGCAGTTCAAAACCACCAGCCATTCCTTGGGATAAAGAAGAGGCTTTCTACTACCGTAAAGAGTTGTAGTTGCAGAAACCCACAGGGCCAGTTCTATCCTGCCTACAGGTTCACTATGAATCTGAATCAACTCGATGGTAGAGTTTTGTTTTGTTTTTGGAGTTTCTCACGGAGAGATGAAACGTGGCCCTGGCCACGACCACCCTGTTTCTCCCACACCAGCCATCTGGACCACGAAGTTAGCACAGCGCCACCTGGAGCTGGAGCCCAGAGATGGCTTTATAATCAAGGCACAGACGGTTCCTTGACAGCAACTACTGAAAATTTTAAAACAGTCAGGCCACCAAAACCTTTCAGAGTGCTAGTCCCCTGCAAGAGTCTCCGTGTCTGCCATCTGCCTGTAAGCTGCACAGGACAGAAGTGTAAGGGGGCCACTGGAGCCAGGGATTGATTCATGAGGACCACGTTCATAAGAGGTTTCTGTTGGCTCACCAGGATCCACTTTCCTCTTGGGTGCTAGTACACCACTGAATGCCCATGGAATCAGACAAAATAAATTAGTCTGGAGGGACCATTCACCAAGCACGGGGGGAAGTGTCCGGTGGAGTTCCTCTCTGGGACTCCCTGAGCAGAGCAGGCTACCGCCCTTCCCCTTAAAGCCCCGCTTCAGCTCTGTCAGTACTGAGTTTGGCTTCTGTGTCTTTCAGTGAGCTGAGCCTGAATTGAGTTCCAGATCTCTGAAATCCTACTCCATTGCCCCTGAACATGCCTTCGCAGCTAGAGAACCACCTCTGAGGTGCCCACCCTGCTTACAGTGGACCCAAAGAGCCTAGCCATTATTCTCCATGGCTTACTAATTGGTGTCAGGTAGAAATGAGCAATTTAAGAAATAACTCTTAAAGGAATTCTTGTCTAAGACAGTCCCTTAGCCGAAAGAGAATTTGGCTTAGTTTAGAGGTGAGCTATCTGTATATTCTTTCATTGTGATTTGAGTCAAGTTCACAGAACACATCGGTCTTTCAACAGTTCAGATACATGTTGTACTGGGACATTGTGATCCCCACAACGGAACAGCACCCTCCCACTGTCCCTGCATGTACCTGTTTCCATTCCTTCTCCTTTCCTGCCCCTTCGGCCTTCTGGGCTTTACCCCTGGACAAATGCTGCCCTTCTGGTCACCTGCGACTGATTGCTTGAATAAGTGGTCCCTTCGATCATTACTGTTCACCTTATAGACCTGTCTATTGGTTTGACTGAAATTTGAGCCATGCGAATGAATTCAGATCCAGTCTGGAGAGATGTCTAAGGGCAATAGTCTCAGAGGTTCTACCTGCTTCTATCAGACTGGCAAACTTGACTGTTTTCATTATTTTGAGCTTGTGTCACATTTTTCTTCCATTTTATCTACGATCCCTTTCAGAGCTGTCGGCATTGATCTAGTTCTGCGCCGAGGGCCATGGAAGATGGGCTTAGCATGGTCCTCCTCATCTTCTGGACTCATTGCCTCCATGCGTCTTTGACCTTGTTTGACCCGTATAGGCGGAGACCAATCGTTGCACCTTTGATGGCCACAAGCTTGTAAGACCCCAGTCACTACTCCTCTAAGTAGGATGTAGAGCACTGTCTTTATCTGTGCCAGTTGACCTCAGTGTCCCCTGAGACTATGAGCTTGTGACCCCAAATCCAGCAGCTCATTCCCTCAAGGCTTTGGTCTTGATTAAGACATTTTCATGTCTTTGCCCCATATTCTGTACTCGTCATATATTCATGGATATATTTGCAGCACTGTTAATGCTTTATCTGCCTAAACATACTTGTCAGGTCATCAAAAGAGAGGAGGGCAGTGAGGCAATGTAATCCAGTGGAAAGAGCAGTGATTCAAAGGGCCTGCTTTCAATGAATTCCCACGAGAGATGCTTTCAGTGACTTCATTCCGCTGAGCCTCAGCGTGGATGAGGCAGTCAACGTGAGTGGAAGAGTCAGAGACAGTGCAGGTCCACCCTGGGGCACAGCTGTTGTTACTGATGTGGAGTTGAATCAAATTTCATCTTCTCAACAGCCCACTTAGAACAACACAATTCCAAATTGCCCTATTTCCTGTTTCCCAACAGCTGTGGCGAGTCCAAAGGGTAGGCTACACATTGGACTGCAAACCACAGGGTCAGCAGTTCCAAACCACCTGCCACTCCATTAGGAAAAGGTGAGGCTTTCTGCTCCCGTAAAGATGTACACTCCAGAACCCACAGGGGCAGTTCTGCTCTGTCTTATGGGGGTCGATGGCAGTGAACGAGTGGCAAGTCCAACAACTTTGACATTCCACGTTGGCTCGTAGAGCGCACACCAACTCCCAGTGTTGCCATGCCAACTGTGCTTCCGAGGGAGGAGTTGTCCAATTACCTTTCAGTTGAAATAACTTTTTAACAAATTGTTTTTCTGCCATTCAGGAACTACTGAGGCACAACTCTTTCTAAGACATTGAAATCATTGAATTGAATGGTATGTGAATTATACGTCAGTCAAATAGTTAAACATTTTTTTAATAAACTACCTAGATTGTTGAAAAAACAAAAACAACCCCGAGTCTAAAACCTGATGCTGCTGTTTGAAAGTGGGACTGGCGTCCCATAGAACCAATGCTGTGGGGCTGTCAGAAGCTGGAGGGCAGGGGAAGGAAAAAAGAAAGCTTTCTCTGCCTGCCTGCAGCAGGGAGTCCTGGTGGCGCACTGGTGCAGCACTGGGCTGTGCACGCACAGTGCAGCCCCCCAGGAGTCGGCTGGCAATCTGCTTCTCAAAGAGTTTGTCTGGGTTGGAATCCACGCGAGGGTGCACACAGCATGCACACTCGGACAAGAAACAGACTGTGGGGTGCACGAGGCCTTATGGGAAATGGAGAAAAAATGCAGAGGGGCCGAGGACAAGACTGGGGCCCAGAGAGCAAGAAAGATGTCATGGAATTGGCACGAGGAGCCACTTGAAACAAATGTTGCCCATCAGGCTTTGCCAGCGGACATTTCCGTTTCCCCCTGCTGTGGCCCTGGTGCGGCTGAGCAGCCTGGCACCCGAGAGTTCAGTTCCAGTCTCTCTACACATGTTGCCTCAAAAGCCTGTCCTGCCAGGGTCCTTCAGGGCACTGCACCTCTTAGGGGTGATGCCTCTGCTAAAGGTCACTGTAGGGAGAAGGAAGGGGCTTTCTCCTCCCATAAAGAGTCATCATCTCATAAACTCTCTTTGCTTCACATTCCTGTTGACAAGCCACTGGAGCCACACTGATGGCAGTCAGAGCCCTGGAAATGTGTCCACTCCCATTGGGTCTGACGGACTTTCCACCCACCAGTTGGTGATCTTCCTGCATTTGGCATCATTGCATGTGCTGCATGAGTCCGAGGAAGAATTCATGGGCAAATATTGGACTTATGGGCTAATATCAAACTTATGGACGTGATCTGGACTGGGCTGGTATATTTTATTGATGCATAATATGAGTGTCTCTGGATTTGTTTCTCTAGTCTACCCGGACTAACACAATGTCTTTTAAAAATTGTCTCTATGGCATCCAATTGTCGTCAGCAACTAGAAAGACTAGATAGGAACTTTGAGGGGCAGTGAGTTCGTGTTAATTCAGAACAGGAGGGCGAGAATGGTTGCAGGGATTGGAGGCAGTAATCGTATCACAGCGTGGTACAAGTGGACACTGTTGATTGATGTATGTTCGGCTGTGTATCTTATCAAGAACAGGTGGCCTGTGTGACCATCTGCCCCTTTGATGGGGCATGGGGAGGGTATATTAGGAGAGAGTATTACTAAAATGCCTAATGCATGACTGTGTTTTGTTTTTACAGACTTATCGGCGAGACTGTTGAAAGTTTAACCGTCCAAGATGCCTGTCCCTCCCCCCCCAGCACCCCCACCGCCCCCGACGCTTGCACTGGTAAGTTTCTTCTCGCTGACCATTCAATGAGCATGTCAAGAGAAATCAGAGCCTACCCTGTGTGCGTTTGTCTGGATGCGGGCTTAACTGTGTAAGCCTCCCCAGAGGAAGCTGAGCCCTGAGGTTCAGCGACCACAAACACCAACTATCTTACTACCTGAGGCCTCATGCAATGCTCGCTACCAGTGGGTGTGAATTACCTCTAGTTCTCCCTGGGTCACACACACACACACACTTCTATCCTGGTATCTAGATTTCTACTTCATCACTGGGCTCATCCTGATCCCTTGCTTCCTAGCAAATGCAAGATCCTGGAGAAATTGGATATGGAAAGGGAAGCAGGGGCAGGTGCACACCACAAGACATTGTCGTGGTGGAGCTATGCAATGAAGGGCCCAGGACTTGGGAGAAGTTAGTGTCCCAGGAGGTCAAGTGTCAAAATCAATTTTGAGGAAGCACAGGAGGCCACTGAAGGTTTGGGACTGTTAGGATGTCTAATTTGAACAAGTCACTTAACCTCTTTGGACCTCAGGGTTTTTCATAAATGGAGCCAGTAGGTAATTACAAAACCTTTTTCTAAACCCCAGCAGAAGATGGTCCCATTGGCAACAGTTAGCATATAAATGCAAAGAGCGTTTCTGGAACGAGAGCCAAGAAGCTCCTCACAGGGTGGCTTCGGGGAACTGGTGGCGGCTAAGAGGACGGGCATTTCCCATCAGCTTTCAAGGAAGGCTGTGGAGTCAGGCTGCCACCGTTTGAACCCCTGCTCCTCCTCGTGGTTTCCTCTCTCCCTGCCTCCATTTCCATGTCTGTAAAACAGATAATAACTTTGGGATGAGTAAAGACGAGCTGAATTCATATACAGAAAATGCTAGAAGTAGTGCCTAGCCCATAGTAACCGATACAGGGAGGCTAACTGCTACTGTCATGAGCATAGAATACCTTGGCAGTTAATTCTTTTAGGTCCCTCCTAGGTTAGCATGCAGTCATTCTTTTCAGTTAGAATTTGTCTTAGCTCTCCCTCTGCCCCTAACATGAATCCTCAATAGGACATTGTGTGGGGCACCAAGTGGGAAGCACCCCCATGTTTACCCCCGCAGGCCCTCACTGGCATCTCTGAAACGGAATCCATTGGGGAGGTCGGGGTTGAACTGGAGAGACTCCGCACGGACCAGGGGTCACGGGCAGACATTGATCAGACTCTGCGAGGAGGGCGGGGTACAAACCAGACCTTGGCAGGAGTGACAGACCGGGCAGATGCCTCTTCCTAGTCTGTGTGTGGGCTTTCGTCCTGCCACTCCCTGGAACAGTCCCAAAGAAACAAGGTCTCATTTTCACCGAAAGGAATTCTCCCAGGAATTCTGGACGTGGAAGGAACACCCAGACATTTTAAGGCCATGCCTTCGTAGTCTTCCGTGCGCTGAGCCGGCAAGGGGATCAACTGTTATCAACAGCATGGGCCGAAGGGGCCGGAGGGCTCTTGGGTAATAGATATGCTCAGCCTTTGTTCCCTACAGTGTGGTGGTGGTTATACAACTGTGTGTCTGTCAAAACGCCTAGGCCTGGACCCACCTGAACCTCAGTCCACAGGACAGACACTTTCCTAAGAAACAACCCCAACAGTGTAGCCATGGGATTCTCTTCTAACACTTTCGGTGGATTGTTTTAGCCGTGCTGACAGCCGGCGAGCATTTGGGGCTGGGGCCGACTTTCCCCTTGCACGGGGAGCTCTCGCAGAGAGGAGCGCACCGCAATGGCTCAGGACCCAGGGGGGAGAAAGGAGCCTGGTGCTCTTCTGGAGCATCTGTCCTCCCCACCCTCCTCCTGTGTAAGCCACCCTACTGCCCAGCCCCGGGGGTGGTTACGGCCAGATTGTGGTGTGCATCTTCGGAGACTCCTGTCAGGCCCTGACTCTTCCTGCATTCCAAACAAGTGTAATTTACGGCTGCATCTGCTCCCCAACATCTGGGTCTTAAAACGAGTGACATGGGGTGCTGAGACTGTTGGGGAATTTGCAGCTCTTGCCAAGAGGCTTAGTAATAAGCTTGCAGTCCTCTGGCGGCCCCAGCCGAACGTGGTCGGACCTGGCTTTGCTCCACAAGGTGAATGTGGGTCTGCGTGGTTTCCTTTCAGGCCAATACTGAAAAGCCCGCCTTGAACAGGGCCGAGCAGGCTGGGAGAAATGCCCTGCTCTCGGACATCAGCAAAGGGAAGAAACTGAAGAAGGCTGTTACCAATGACAGGAGCGCACCGATTCTGGACAGTAAGTGAGGAGGGCCTTCCCCAGGGGGTTATGGCCTAACAACCAACCCTGCCCATCCCGACCATAAAAAAAAATATTTAAAAATGTGTGTGTGTATGTGTGTGTGGGGGGGTGTTTCTTGTTGTGATTCCCAACAGCTGCAAAGCTGGCAGAACAAGGGACTGTGTCCCTCATTGTTGGCCAAAGCTCTGGCTGGGTTCCCCGATGCTGCAGGAAGCCAGGATAAGAATCCTTTGTCCGTCACACACAGCAGGCGTTCTCTGAGTTGCTCACAACCCGTGGTGACATTGCACCCATGCCCCCTCCTTCTGCAGCTCAGGAGGGAGCATGAAATGTGGAAGGGGCCATCGCCTTGGGTTCCAGGAGTTTGGGTTGCCATCCCAGCACAGCCACCACTTACCATCTCTAAGCCTTCCTGCCTGCCTCATTTGTGAACATGGGTCCCACGGACCTCACTAGTTTGCCGTGAGCATCCAGGGAGATAATGCTCCTGAAAGTGCCTTGTGCTTCTGGGGCAGGGTAGGATATGCATAAACAGACCAGAGCCCCCAGCCACAGGGCTGTTGAATAACAGCATTTATGTAGAGCAGAGCATGATCCAAGACCAGACTCTAGTGTTGGGGAGCCCAGGTGGCACAGTGGGTCAGGGACTGGGCTGCTGACGGCAAGGTCAGACCCACAGCTGCGTCATCATTTAAAATGAGGTTGTCCACTGGTGTCGAGATCTACAGTCTCAGAAACTCTGAGGAGCAATTCTAATCACTCCTGTAGAGACACTATAAGTTGGGTACCTTTACCTGTCACCTAATTGGGTACCTATACTGCCGTCAAGGGTCCTTGTGGTGCAACACTAAGGCACCCAGCTGCTAACTGAAAAGCTGGCATTTCAAACCCACCCTGTAACTGGAGAAAGACCATAATGATTACAGCCAGGAAGCCCTAGGACAGATCTGCTCTGCCGCATAGGGCATCCTTGTATTGGAATCACCTGGACAACATCAAACAGCAACATACCATCACAAGCTCTTTGAAAAGCCCTCCCAGGGGGGTGTCTCTCTGCAGTGAGACCTGCCTGGGCTCCGTGTCAAAGTGACAGTCATGGCTCTTGACTTGAGCCTTATCCTGCAATTTAATTACTGACGAGGTAACCTGGGCCCAGTGTACTATCCTCCGCTTCCGAGTCTCTCTCTGGAGGATGGACCAAAGCTCCGGGTAAAGAAGTTATGATGGGTAAGGAGCAAACGGATGACTTCTGAAAGTGCATTGATCTCTGAATTTTCAACACCATGCTAGTACGTCCTATTATGATTGCAGTATCGCAACGTGTAGCATTAATTAATGAAGAGTATCGTGTCACTCTGAGTCAGAATCAATTCTATGGCAGGGAGTTGTGAGTTTCTGAGTATATGAATGATAAGGATATTGCCAGCAGAATTGGTAATAATTAAACTGCAAATATTTTGAAGTTTTTGTGGAAACAATTCTGCATTCACTTCCAGACATTGGTATTCCATTTGATTTATCCTTTTAGGTAAGATTGTTATCATCTCTTCAGAATCAGACCATTTCTTCCATCAACAATGCTCCTGTAAGCATCCCAGAAAGCTCCACACCTAGAAAGGATGCAGCATAAACACAGATACACTTATGATAAGTCCGATGTTTAAAGATAACACAAACAAACACAATTAGATCTTAGGAAGGAGCTACAATAAGAGACTCAAAGGAGGTTTCCTAAAATTAAAGACATTATTGCGAAGTTAGAGGCAGTGGTGGTTCAACGTATTCTCACCTTCCACACCGGAGATCCACGGCATTTCATTGAGTTGGGTCAATTTGACAGAAGCTCAACTAAAAGTATGACGTTATCTGCTAATACATTTGCAATCTTAACAAAATTACCTTTCTAAGAAAAATACAAATTTACCAAAGTTCACTGAGGATGGCTCAATGATCATGGAAATGGTTGGAAACATTTTTTGTTAGGCAGGGTTCACTAGAGAAATGAAACCAGGACACTTATGATTTATATATATATAAATCTATATATTGTTTATAATAATATATAAATCTATATGAATATTTATAAATCTAAAATACATATTAATCTATACATATATAGGTTTATACAGCGAGAAGGAATGTAATAGCTAATTAGTCCATACAGCAGTTCAGAGGGCTCAATTCAACACACTTCTATGGAACAGTTAATAATATACTGAAAGTCCTTCAACTCATGTGGGCTGCTGGGTCCAAGATGAAGGAAGCAGACAGCAAAGTCCTCCCTGGGGCAAGGCATGCAGAGTCTGCCCACAGGCAGCAAGCAGCAGGGTGGGTCACCAATAGTCACTAGTTTGGGAGCTTAGCAAAGCAGGCCCTGATGGGATATCAAACGCAAGCAGTGCAAGGGGACAGAATCCACCAGCTTCAAGTTCAAGCAATGTATGCACCAGCAGCATGGCAAAGCAGGTTTCAAAGGAGCTCTAGCTACACGATCCACAGATTGGCCTGGCCCACAGGTAGTGTAGCTCACAGGTTGAGACAGAATTAGCTACAGCAGCAGCATGCAAGCTCCAATCACCAGAGACCGAGAGAGGGGGGCAGGGGGCGGGCCTTGCAGAGCCATTTCTCTCTTTGCCCTCCAATCAAAGTGGGACCTGATTGATCCCACATGTTCCTATTGGCCAGGTTGGCACAATAAACTTATCTCTCACACTTATCAAATTATTTTCTCCCCCAAAAAGCTTTGGAGCCATATGATTTCATCAGTACTGGTAAATTCTTGCTGTTTTCAAGAGAGCTGATTGAAATGCTGTACAAATGGTTCCCAAACACAGGCAGAGATGGAGACCATTTGATGGGCTAATGAAATGGGCACGATCCTTACATCACCACATGACAGAGACGGCATACACACAAAGCTGTAGCCCAGTGGTTCTCAACCACCAGACACAGGCTTGGAGCATTCTCAGATGTCCCAACTTGGGGGTGGGGGCGGGGTGGAGATGGAGGGTGTGTTACTGACATCTAGAGGCCAGGTAGAGGCCAGGCATGCTGTAAACATTTTACAACTCGTAGGACAATCCTCCAAAGTCTAATCGAGCACGTTAGTAGTGCCAAAGTTAAGAAATCCTACTATAGATCACTTCTGATCATATATGAGAGGATATGAAATAAAATTTTTTAAAAACTAGTTTAATAATCCACCAAGATGAAGGTTTAATGTTAGAAAGTCTATTAATCTCATCAACTAAGGAAAACCATATAATCATCCCATTTGACACTAAATAGGCACTTAGAACATAAGCCAACATCATTACAAAGTCTTACAAACCTGAAGTGGAAGGGTATTTACTTATTGTGAATGCTTTTAAAAAACTAATTTTAACCCAATGATTAATATTTAACTTAGAAGCAGTAGAGACATTTTCATTAAAATTTGAAAAAAAATGGTTTCCTTTAGAGCTATTAATTATTCACATTGTAATTGGACATTCAACCACCATCGTAACTGACTACTTATACACAAGGAAGATCAGATTGTACAACTTGAAAACAGGAGACACGTCTTCCTTACTTGCAGACTAATATCAACACGAAACCAAACTCACTGTCACGGAGCCCATTCTGTTTCATAGTGAACACATAAGACAGGCTAGAGCCGCCTCTGTGGGCTTCCTGGACTGCTGATGGGAGTAGAAAGCCTTGTATTTCTCCCATGGAGTGGCTGGTAGTTTCAAACTGCTGACCTTGTGGTTAGCAGCCCAACTCTTAACCACTATACCACCAAGGCTCCTGCAAGCTAATAAAACAACTAAAAATTCCAAAGTAATACATCAAGGAGATTTTAATTCAGAAAATCCAGCAAAGTAGCTTGCTATTAGATATCTAATGAAATTCCTGACGTTAATAATAACCAATTAAGAAAAAAGAGTAGGGAAAAATACACCTTTCACAATGTCAACAAAAGTGTATTAGAAGTAACCCTAACAAGAAACCTAACCCTATCGTGAAAACTGAAAACGTTACTGAAGAATATAGAAGATATAAGTAAATAGGAAAAGACCACATTCCCAAACATGAAGTCTAAATGTCATAAAGGTAGCAATTCTCCCAGGTTAATTTGTGGATTTCGTGGAGTACTTACCAAAGACTCAATAGGACTTGTGTGTGTGGAGGTGGAACATGCTTTAAACAAAGTTTAGCTTCTTAAATACAAACACACATACTTGCATGTAAGTTATTAAAAGGTTCTTTTTAAAAAGAGTATAATTATGGTTGCCATCATCACTTTAAAATACACACATATTAAAGATTTTATTTGTCATTAATTAATGAGGGAATCATTAAGATACTATTACCAACTTGGAGAAGAATTAAAGTACCACATATCTGCAGACAAATAAATGTCAATCAATTGCCATCTATTGGACATCAATAACATTTTTATTGGACAAAGATCATTTGTATTGTTATCAATACAACTTAAGGAGTTGCGAAGTAGTGCATAGGGGCAGAAATAACCCCAAGAACTGGGGGAAAATGCTTAGTAATTGTTTTCTTTTCCTCCTCCTGTTTTTGCCCATTTAACTCTTCCACAAATTCCCAGGCAAAATAAAAGTCCTTCTCAAATTTCAAATAATTTTTAAAATGTTAAAACCCTGTGCTGACAGGATACTAAAAATAATCATTTTCACATAGTTTAAAGTATATATATTTTAAGATGAGCGTTTAAATAGCAAACTAGGTTTCCATTTTAGTTTCTACATAGATTATTCAGTGAGATTGGTTACATTGTTCCTTTTCATATACTTCTGATGGGAAACTTTGTAGAGTGGTTTTTGTAATTATGTATCAAGAATCTCAAAACACTGACCCAATAATTCTACTCCTAATTTATCTTAAAGAAATAATTAGAAATGCAGGTTAAACATTTTGTAGATATTGTACCATTTTAAGAAAATTGAAACCAACATAAAAATATGATTAAATAAATCACAATATATCCATGTTTTAAAATATAATGTAAGCATTTATACTCATGTTACCAAAGAATATTTAATGACATAAGGGATGCTGATAAAAAAGAATTAAATAATAAAAAGGCTGAAACCTATTTAAATTTGCTCTTAGTTTTAAGAAAAAAATACATAAAACATGAAGAAAATTCAAGCAGGGGAAAAAGAACAGTGTTAACCAAGGAGTCGAATTATAGGATCATTTCCATGGAGTAAAATTATGGGATTCCCACCGCCCCTTCTTTATTCTTTGTATTCTTTCCCTTCTCACCTTTTGGTCATATTTTACCTCCTTTGCGCCCTTCATTCTTTGAAGATCCTTTTATTTGTCAAAACTTCGGATATAGAACAGACGGAAGCTGGTCAAGTGCAGGGCATGTGGACGAGTCTGCTTCTTTCTCTACTCCATCGGTGACCACCGGGGGTGGAAAGAAAGCCTTCCCTTCATGACCAGGGTGACAGTGACCCTGCAGTGTTTTTTTTAAAAACATTTTATTAGGGGCTGATACAACTGTTATCGCAATCCATACGCTCATCAATTGTGTAAAGCGCATTTGTACATCATTCTCAAAACATTTTCTCTCCACTTAAACCCCCGACCTTAGGTCCTCATTTTCCCCCTCCCTCATGAGCCCTTGATAGTTTATGAATTGTTATTTTGTCATATCTTGCCCTGTCCGACGTCTCCCTTCACCCACTTTTCGGTCGTCCGTCCCCCAGGGAGGAGGTCACATGTAGTTCCTTGTAATCGGTTCCCCGACCCTGCGTTTTAATGAAGAAATCCCAGTTGTCCACGCTAGGCCCAGGTGCACCCAGCACCCCATCTTACTGTTGATCGTACTGTTTAACCGAGCTGTGCGTGTGAAGCGTCCTGTGGGGAGGGGGCTGTTCATGCGCGCACACGTGAGAAGAGTGCTTTCTTCCCATTGCAGAACCTAAAGGCGCTGGCGCTGGTGCGGGTGGTGGAGGCGGCGGATTCGGCGGAGGAGGTGGCGGAGGAGGAGGAAGTTTTGGAGGCGGCGGACCACCGGGTTTAGGAGGACTCTTCCAGGCTGGCATGCCCAAGCTGAGGTCCACAGCCAACAGGGATCATGGTAACCAACACGTTCTTCTCTCTTTGTAACTGAAAACTGACAGGATTTGACGGTGGGGAGACTCCTGTACCCTCGCGGGCACAACTCCCTTGAAGTCATTTTATTGTTGTTAGGCGCCATTGACTCATTGTTCTGACTCATAGCGACCACAGACTGGAGCACGCCCGGTTCTGCCCCACATTTCACCGTTGTCCCCATGTGTAAGTCCACTGTTGGAGCCCATGTGTCAGTCCAGCTCAGTTAGGCCTTCCTTATTTCCGGGGCCCCTCCACTTTACCAAGCATGCTGTCCTTCTCCAGGTCTCTCCTGATAGCATGTCCACAGTGCTGAGAAGAAGTGCCACCATGCTGGCCTCGAAGGAGCATTCCGGTTGCATTTCTTCCAGAGCAGGTGCTTGTTCTTTTGGCAGCCCAGCTTCTCTCAAGACCTTCACCAACCCCACAGTTCAAATGCATGGATTCTTGGCTAGTCTTCTTTACTCCGTGTCCAGCTCTCACGTGCATAGGAGGCCATTGAGAGGACCATGGCTTGGGTCAGGCGCCCACACGGTAGTCCTCATAATAGCATCCTTGCTTGTCCACACTTTGAAGAGGTGTTATGCAGCAGATTTTCCCAGTGGGATGTGTCATTTGATCTCCTGACTGCTGCTTCCATAGGCTTTGATTGTGGATCTAAGCCAGACGAAATTCTTCACAACTTCCATCTGTTCTCTCTTCATCATGATGTTACCTATTGGGCCAGTTGTGAGGATTTGAGTTTTCTTGACATTCAGTTGCGATCCACACCAAAGGCTACATACAGCCTTTGGTCTTCATCAGCAAGTGCTTCAAGTCCTCCTCATTTTCAACAAGCAAAATTTTGTCATCTGCATTTCGAAGGTGTTACTAAGCCTTCCTCCAATCCTGATGCCACATTCTTCCTCATATAGCCCAGCTTCTCTGATGATTTACTCAGCATACAGATTGAGTAGGTGTGGTGAGAGGATACAATCCTGGCACACACCTTTCCTGATTTTAAACCATGGAGTATTGCTTTGTTCTGTTTGCACAACTGCCTCTTGATCCGTGTACATGTTCCACATGAGCCCAATGAAGTGTTCTGGAATTCCCATTCAGAAGAATGAGAACAAGACTGTCCATAGTGTGTTATGATCCACACAGTCGAACGCTGTTGCTCAGTCAGTGAAACACAAGTCAGCATCTTTCTGTAAGTAAGCAGAGGCGTTGAGCCAATGTCCATCTGACATCAGCAATAATGTCTCCTGTTCCATGTCCTCTTCAGAATCGGGCCTGAACCTCTGGTTCTGAACCCCTATCAAGGTACAACAGCAACCGTTGTTGGATGGTCTTCAGAAAAATGTTACTTGCATGTGATATCAATGATATTGTGCTATAATCTGAGCATCCTGTCGGGGCACTTTTCTTTAGAATGGGTACAAATCTCTTCCAGTAGCCGGACACGTCGCTGTCTTCCAGATTGTTGGCATCGACGAGTCACTTGTGCTTCATCGGCTTGTTGAAGCATTTCAGTTGGTATCTGGCAACCCCTGGAGCCTTGTTTCTCGTCCTTCCGCACATTGGTTCTTGCGCATATGCTGTCTCTGGAAATGGTTGAATTAGTTGATTTTGGTACAGTGACTCTACATTCTTTCCATTTTCTTTGAATGCTTCCTGCATCACTCAATATTTTGCCCAGGGAATCTTTAAATATTTCAACTCCAGGCCTGAATTTTTTTTCTTTAGTTGTTTCCGTTTGAAATATGAGTATTCTGCCTTTTTGGTTTTCTAACTCTAGGTCTTCGCACATTTCCTTGTAGTGGTTTACTTTGGCTTCTCCAATTGCTCTCTGAAAATTTCTGTTCAGCTTTTTGACGTCCTCCTTTCTTCCATTTGCCATAACAATCAGAGCAGTTTCAGAGGGTCTTCTGACATCCACTTTGATCTTTTCTTTCTCTCCTGTCTTCGTACCGACCTTTTGTGTTCTTCCGGTAGGATGGTCTTGATGTCCTCCCACAGCTCACCAGCAGTTCTGTCTTTAGTGTTTAATGCATCAAGTCTGTGCCCGAGATGTTCTCAAAATTAAGGTGGCATATTCTCAAGTTGGTATTTTGGCTTTCGTGAACTTGAATTTCAATCTGAACTTAACATATGGACAGTTGATGGCCTGCCCCACAGTCAGCCCTGGCCTGCTTTTAGCTCCTGATATTGAGCTTCTCCATCATCTATTCTCACAGATGTAGTCCATTTGATTTCATTGTATTCCATCTGGAAAAGTCCCCAAACTTTTATGTTGTTGAAAAAGGTATTTGTGATGAAGAAATCATTTGTCCCTGCAAAATTCTATCATGCAGTCATCTCCAGCTTCCTTTCTATCACCACGTCCATATTTTCCAATTACTCTTTCTTCTTCTTTGCTTCCAACTTCTGCATTCCAATTGCCAATAATTATCAGTGCATCGTGACTGCATGCTTGATCAATTTCAAATGAAGACATTGGTAGGATTCTTAGATTTCTTCTTCACTAGACAGCCTTGACTTCGAGATAAAGTTTGAAATATCCTTTTGACTAAATACAGCCCTATTTCTCTTGAGTGTGTCATCCCCAGCACGGTGAGCCATGTGATTTTCTGATTCAACATGGCCCAACGCCCGTCCATTTCAGCTCAGTGAAGCCTAGACTCTCAATCTGTATGCATTCCACTTGTATTTTAATGACTCCCAAGTTTCCTAGATTCATACTTTGTACAGTCTACATTTCAACTCTTACTTGATGTCTGCAGCTCTTTCTTCTCGTGTTGTTGTGCCTCCTCAGCCCCTGCAGGGCCTGGAGGTTTTCTTCCATAGGCTTTGTTCCATCCACGTCATCGTGTCTGGCTCTACGTTGAGGTGGCAGCTCTTCCTCGGTGCTATTTTGAGTGCCTTCCGGCCTGGGGGCTGGTCTTTAGGCACTGTCTCTGACAGCGTTCTGCATCTAGGCATTGGGTGTGCAGTCACTGGGAGCGTGTGAACGCCGTCCGTAGGGTTTGCGGTGCCTATGTCCTCCGAGGTGCCTTTTCCCTCTTCGTAGTCTGTGCACTGTCTGGAAGATCCGCTGAAACCGGTTCACTCCGGGGGACCCTGCAGGTGTTGGAGAAGCCTTCATCTTTCCGCATTCACAGCAACACAGGGGCCGCCACAGGATGACACGCTGACAGACAGCAGTGTTTAAAGAATTCTAACTGATTTTCAATCTCCGCCTCATTTCATGAGACTATTTAGCATCGTTCTTTAAAAGAGGAAATCAGGAGTTCGATATTTGTGTGCTTGTTTCAGTAACTTCCGAGGGCTGTGACATATCTGCCGGTGTCCTGGCCCGTAGGACCCCTGTGGACGTTTCCAAAGGCTGAGCTAGAGTGGGAAGAGAAGGAAGGAGCACAAGGAACTTGCTGCCCTTGAAACTCGGTCTGATGACCCACAAGTTCATCATTCTTTGTGAGGCAGCCCGAGCCAAATATCAACACAGTAAATGCTGTAGAACCTCCTTTCACAAACACTGTACAGCTCTTCATGCAGGGGATGAGGGCAGATCCCACTGAATCTAGAATGAGGTCTGGCTTGTCCACAGACAACAGACTGGCATTTGCTGCCAGTGGTGCCAGCCTTCTCTGCACAGAGCCATGGAGATGAGTCCTACAAGGTTGTTCAGAAACCTAAGGCAGAGAAAAAAGTTGAGCTTCTCAAAAATCCAAACTCACTGCCAATGACTCAATTCTAACTCATATCAACCCTAGCAGACAGAGTAGAACCACTCCCGTGGGTTTCAGAGACTAACTCGTTTTTTGGGGTTTTTTTTATATCATTTTATTAGGGATTCATACAACTCTTATCACAATCCATACATCTATCAATTGTGTAAAGCACATTTGTGCATTCATTACCCTGATCATTCTCAAAACATTTGCTCTCCACCTAAGGCCCTGGCATCAGCTCCTCATTTTTCCCCCTCCCTCCCCACTCTCCCTTCCCTCATGAACCCTTGATAATTTATAAATTATTATTTTGTC